GTGCTGTCACATATGGCAGTGAGCAGAATCGCAGATGTTGATGATACCACATAATTAGTATTCTTTTATGTAAATGAAGGCTGTCAGCATGTTACCATAGTGTCTACTCTCTCCGAAGCTGGAATTTATGCTACTTGGTCTCACCAAGACCAGGCAGGATTATTCCACTGTCCTTAGTTAAGAACTGAGAAGAAATTAATACAATGAGAGAGAAGAAATGGAAATCTCCTTAAAGTAGATAGATTATCTTTATTTTGTTGTTGTTGATTTTTCTCCCAGAAATTTTATTTCTGATGATGCAGAAATGCATTTAGGATAAGCTAAGAAATTTGCTAGTTGAGAATAATTGGAATAGTCCAATTAAAAGACAAATCATATTTTCAAGCTATAGATATTTGAATGCTTATAATGTTCAGTCATCTCATACAGAGATTTTTAACGATATGATAAATCTAGACATTTCTCATCAGAACAAAAAACAAAAATTGAAAAGATTTCATTACCTTCTTTTAATTGACTGTTTTAGAGATATTAACCATAGATAGTATGATACTTTTAAATGTTGATTGTAGGTTTTTGCTGCAGTTGATTCAGATTGTTTAAATAAAACTGTGGTAATTAAGCAAGCAAAAACTAATATTTTATCAGGTTTACTTTCTCCATATGCAGACAGATCCAAAGTATGCAAGATATTTATTTAAAGTTGCTGACCTACCTAATGATGGAGAACTGTTAAAGCACATCATATTCTTTCCCAGTGGCACTGCAGGTTTATCTCCTTTGGATATTGGATGCCTGTCATACTGGATGATGTATGTTTTAAGTGGGAATGTTAGGATTATTATGACCTTTGGGAATTATGAAGGAAAAGGTGTACCTGTCAGAAAAATGTACAATGGAATTCCTTTTATGCCTCTGGGTGTTAGGCCTTGTTCTTAAATAAAGCGGTCAGAATGTATGAGAGGTGAGTTAAACACATTGTCTTACTTGAACTGAGTATACCTGAGATTTTGTTCTCATTCTCTATTTTGTGTGTTGATTAAGGTGGCTTCTTTCTTTTGTGTCAGTTTTGGGTGATTTCCACTTCATGATCAGATATATTTTTCCTTTGGAGAAGCTAGTCTGCCTAGCTTAAATCAGTGTGGTGAGGTGCAAAGTACCCCTGTGTTTTCCTGAATGGATTTACTCTGCCATATGGCAGGTTAGTGAGTTTCCACGACAGATTTGTAATGGGGAAAGGGCTGTGCAGGAAAGGATGTGCGTGATCAGCAGATTTATAGATCAGAAAATGAAATCAGAAGAGTTTCTAGAGTGCCCTTTCCATTTGATGGCTCTCTATGGAGAGAGTGTGGAATTTTTGTGTGTGTATTTTTCTATTTTGGCTTTTTGTTGTTCCAGCGTATTTTTTCTAGCATAGGAGTTGATTTTGTAAGGCATCGTGTTCTAGTGTTGTATTGCTGTATTCCCATTCACAGAAATATTCTCTGTAGGAGTTGAAGCTGTGCTGTGTTTCATGTGATAAGATCTCAGTAGCAATTAAATTCCTGAAGACAATCAAGCCTTCTATTGGCTAAGATGGGGACTTGCCAGGTTTTGAGTTATAAAAAGCTATTCAGATATGATTCAGTGAATACTGAATCATTTGAAGGAAAGAAAACAAAGAAAAGCCCAATGAGCTAAAGATAGCATGCCCTGGTATATATAAGTCTATGCTATCTAACACTGCAGTTACTAGCCACATGTGGCCATTTAAATTTAAATTAATTAAAAGTAAATAAAATTAAAAGTTCAATCCCTCAGTCTCACTAGCCACATTTCAGGTGCCTCAGTAGGCACATGTAGCTGATCAGTACAGTATCGGACAGTGCAGATAAAAGAACATTTCCATCATTGCAGAAAGTTCCAACAGTGGTGGTCTAGCTGAAGGATTTGAGAAATAAAATTCTTTCTTTGATTTCTATGAGTAGCTCTTCATTCCTATATAATTTACTGGATTTAGTGCAGTTGTCCTAAGGTCTCAGTGTACAAATGAATCATCTGTAGAGCCTGTTTAAAATGCAGATTTTAGACCCCTCCCCAGACTCTGATTCATCAGGTTTTGGAGTTGTCACTAGAAATCGGTATGTATAAGTATTCTAGGGAATTCTGATGCTGGTTTAGGAACTACATTTTCAAAAATATTAAATTAGTAAGAAACTTGGGAATTACCCCTTTTGATCCTCACCTCCCCACATCCCCCGATTTCATTCTTTCATTATTGACTTTCTTTTGTGTCCCTGGTAATTGGTTGTAAGCATCTTATGAACCCAACTTCATAGGTAATAAGCAGAAAAAAGAAAATTCATTTATTTGCCATTTCATCTTTACAATTTTTTTTTTGTTAATCCTCACTCAAGGATATTTTTCCATTGATTTTTAGATAGAGTAGAAGGGAGGGAGGGAGAGAGAGACAGACAGACATCCAGGTGAGAGAGACACATTGATTGGTTGCTTCCCACATAACCCCAACTGAAGCCAGGATCGAACCTGCAACCCAGGTACGTTCCCTTGACTGGGAATTGAACCCATGACCCTTCGGTCTTCGGGCTGACACTGTAACTGCTGAGCCAAACCGGCCATTTCATCTTTTTAATGTATATATATTTTTAAATTTGGTTCTGCCCTACAGAAAGTACCATTTTGGACTGTGAGGGAAGGTAATTCAGACTGAGCACCTTTGACCACTAAGAGTTGAGGGACCCACAAGTCTTGAAATTACAAAGGAGTAAAAAAAGAAATATAACACATGATCTACTCTCTGAAGGATATTGTATCTTGTTAGGAAATGGATAAATACATCCAAAGAAATGACTTAAAGGGCACTTAGCAACAAATTAATAATTAGAAAAGTAATATAGTAGAAACTAAATCCTGACAGTCCTCAAAGGAAAAGCATGATCTGGCTTGATTGAAAATTATTTAAGTTGCTTTCCTTTGTATGATCTGAGGGTTTCTTACATAGATCATGGCCTCTGCCATCTGGAATAGGCAATAAAAGATGGGAGGGATCTGTAATGTGGTCATATGGTGTACCTGTGGGTTTTGGGAACGGGACCAGTCCAAAAGAGCATCTGGAAAACTAAAGAGACTACTCAGAGTGCCCTGGATTTAGAACTTCTCTGGCTGACCCTACCCCATAATCATTTGCATTTCACAGAAATGAAGTGAAGAAGAAATGGAGGTGAAGGAAGTTCTCTCCATAGAGGAACTACCTTTAGAGAATTTTAAATACCAGTGTTAGGGGGGAAAAAAAAGTCTGTCCGGGTTCCAAAGCATAAAAAGTTTTCGTTTAAAATAATTGTTTAGTAGCTTTCCTTGGAGAGATTACCCAGTAGGCTCCTCTGATGAGCAATATTGAAGAGGCATTGTAGGAAGACAAAAACAAAAAACACTTCACGTTGTTACTAATGTTTTAAAAAGCATTTTCACATATATCATCTGGAAATTTTGCTATTTTTTCTTTTGCCTTGGTAGTTTGGTTAAATACATACTACAAGTAGCCATTACACTTCTTGTCCTAAGTGTCAAATCTATCTAGTTCCATACTTACCTATCCTTTCAGTAAAGATGGTAAAAGTTTTTCCACCCTTTCTACAAGATGTACATGTTCTTTTCAAAAAGACACTGTCTTAATCCTTCTGGGTTGCTATAACAAAAATACCATACTCTGGGTGGCTTATAAACAACAAACATTTTTTTTCTCACAGTTGTGGAGGCTGGGAAGTCCAAGATCATGGTACCAAATTCTGTGTCTGGTAAGGACTTCCTGGTTCATAGCCATACACAGCTTTTCACTCTGCCCTCACATGGTAGAAGAGGTGAGGAAGCTTTTATAAGGGCACTAATCCCATTCATGAGAGCTCATCCCATTGAGAGTCCACGCATTATGATCTAATCACCCTCCAAAGGGCCCCTCCTCCTAATACCATCACCTTGGAGGTGAATATTTTATTATATGAATGGAAGGCACACAAACATTCAGACCATACTAGACATATACAGTGTCACTTAGATTCACGCTTACAGTCTACCTCCTTAGCCAGGAAAATAGAAGATACTTTGTAGTATAGAGGACATTCTTTTTCTTACCTTTATCTTATCCTGTTGTCTCTGCTTTGAAATACATTGAAACCGACCTAAGATTGCCTTTTTAGTTCAGGGTCTTCATCTCTCCTACTGGTATTTGAAACACTATCTATGTCTCTCCTCTTCTTTTCTCTCCCCTGTCCCTTTCTTCATGAAACCAGTATCTTGATTAATATGAGATGTAGAAGTTTTCCTTCTAGGACTTCATCAGTTCAGAAATGGCTTAGAATACAATTTCCCCTGGTGACCAGTTAGTTGGATGCAATGTGAAATAAGGGTATTGGCATTTCCTAAGGAACTCAAAATCAGCCTCACCTAAAAATTAGCTGATACTCAAGAATTAAAACAGGCTTAGAAAATTTAAAGTTTCAAATTGGTGCTAAGCTTATCCTGCCACTCCCCCCCTCCCCCCCAATAATAGTTTATGGTTCTTCCTTTTTAGGGAATTTAACTATCTTTCTGTAATTCTCATTCCCTACCAAATTTGCTTTTTGTTGTTGTTGTTCAGATAGAGTGGGAGGGAGACAGAGAGAGAAACATCGACGTGAAAGGGACACATCGAGTGGTTGCCACCCGCACGACCCAACCAGGGCCGGCGACAAACTGCAACCGAGGTACATGCCTTTAGCGGGAACCAAACCCCGGTCTCTCTGGACCTCAGGCTGACGCTCTAACCGCTGAGCCAAACCAGCTAGGGCTGCTTTTCTTTTTTTAAACTCCCTTCCAAAGAAATCAATTTGGAATTAAAATGAATATTGAGTTGAAAATGCCCGTTAAAAGCCTTTTTTCTAGGAAAATATTTTGCTGAAAGCTTTTGTTTCTCTCTTTTGGTGGGGCCCTGTTGTGCCAGGTTGAAAGAGTGGAGCCTTCTGTAAGACATGGATAGATGCAAACATGTAGGGCGGTTGCGGCTGGCCCAGGACCACTCCATCTTGAACCCTCAGAAGTGGTGCTGCAGGGAGTGCACCACCACGGAGTCGGTGTGGGCTTGTCTCAAGTGCTCGCACGTGGCTTGCGGCCGCTACATTGAAGACCACGCCCTTAAACACTTCGAAGAGACTGGACACCCGCTAGCCATGGAGGTCCGGGATCTCTACGTGTTCTGTTACTTGTGCAAGGACTACGTGCTCAATGATAACCCAGAGGGGGACCTGAAGCTGCTAAGAAGCTCCCTCCTGGCGGTCAGGGGTCAGAAGCAGGACCTGCCGGGGAGGCGTGGCCGGACACTGCGGTCCATGGCCTCAGGCGAGGACATGTCCCCGCCGCCGCGCACTCCTCAGGGACAGCCGCAGATGCTCACGGCTCTGTGGTACCGGCGCCAGCGCCTGCTGGCCAAGACGCTGCGGCTCTGGTTTGAGAAGAGTTCCCGGGGCCAGGCAAAACTGGAGCAGCAGCGGCGAAAGGAGGCACTGGAGCGCAAGAAGGAGGCTGCGCGGCAGCGGAGGCTCGAGGTCAAGAGGCGCCTGCTGGAGGAGCTGGCCAGTGCCCCTCCGCGCAAAAGCGCACGCCTGCTTCTGCACACGCCCCGCGCGGCTGCCCCACGCTCTGCCGCCCCACGCACGCCAACCGGGGGCCGCCTTCCGCTGCGCCGTGCACCAGCCATGGCTCCAGGCGTCACCGGCCTGCGCAACCTGGGCAACACCTGCTACATGAACTCCATCCTACAGGTACTCAGCCATCTCCAAAAGTTCCGAGAGTGTTTCCTGAATCTAGACCCTTCCAAAACGGAACAACTCTTTTCCAGAGCCACCAATGGGAAGGCATCGCTCTCAGGCAGGCTGGCCAGCAACTCAGCCACTGAGCTGTCGCCAAGGAGCGACAGGGGGACTGAGGCTTGCAAGCAGGATGGCCTGTGCTGGAATGGTGGGGCCTCCATTACTAGGAGTCTAGAACTCATCCAGAACAAGGAGCCCAGCTCAAAGCACATCTCCCTCTGCCATGAACTGCACACCCTCTTCCGAGTCATGTGGTCCGGGAAGTGGGCCCTGGTCTCGCCCTTTGCCATGCTTCACTCGGTGTGGAGTCTCATCCCTGCCTTCCGCGGCTACGACCAGCAAGACGCTCAGGAGTTTCTCTGCGAGTTGTTGCACAAAGTGCAGCAGGAACTTGAGTCTGAGGGCACAACGCGGCGGATCCTCATCCCCTTCTCCCAGAGGAAGCTCACCAAACAGGTCTTAAAGGTGGTGAACACCATATTTCATGGGCAGCTACTCAGTCAGGTAGGTGTTTGTCCATTCTAACCCCAACTCTGCCCATGACGTTGGAGGGAAGCTTGTATGGTAGTGTTTGGGCTTCCCGTGAGTGCCTCCTGTAGGTTTTTGGGCTAATGGGGTAGCCAACAATGGCTAGAATTATTCATAATGGAGAGTGGCCATTGTACTTTTTCTTGTACTATACACTGTGATGGCCTTGTTGGTGAACTTGCCTCCTGTCTCTTTCTGGGCAGATTTTCAGTGTAACTTGCCATGTCACTTCATTTTCAGTGAATGTCTTTACCCTTTAATGATGATATGTGTAATTTAATATTCTCATTATAATTAAATACCCGTGGTTGAATGCCATCCTTTGATCAATTTTAGGAAATTAAACAGTTTGCCTATAACCCTGGTTCCTTGGTAGTTAGAGTATGTATTCTTCCTAACTAGACATTCTTTTTTTCTTTATTGATTTTTTTTTTCTTTTTTTTTAGAGAGAGTGGAAGGGAGAGGGAGAGAGAGAAACATCGACGAGAGAGAACATTGATTGGCGGCCTCCTGCATGCACCCCACTGAGGATTTAGCCTACAACCTGGGCATGTGCCCTGACCAGGAACCAAGCTGATGACCTCTTGGTGCATGCATCAGTGCTCAACCACTGAGCCATACTGGCAGGGCCTAACTAGACATTCTTTACATATAAGAAAGGGAAGTGGTTAGGAGGATGCCAAAGGCCTGAACAAGCCTCCCTCCTGTTCCCCATTACCTTTCATTTCCTAGATCTTTAGCCATGTAGGGACAAAAGCAGACTCAGAGATAAGGCTTTGTGAGACTATGCAGAAAGAGAATTTTTAAAGTTAAAATGGTGGGCAACTTAAGAGATTCAAGTAAAACCTCTACACTGTGCTACTGAGGTTTATGCCTTGGTATTTAGGGTTTTAAAAGAATGATAAATGGAATGGGAAGAGAAAGTTTATTTAAGCTTTTAGCATTTGAAAGGGGAGTATTTATGGGCATTTCCCCTGAGGGTACAAAGGAAGAAAGGTGCATCTGGGAAGGTTACAAAGGTGCATCTGAGGAGGTCTCATCACAAGGTACTTTGAGGACCTGTGGACACAGGAATGAGTGTAGGGGGTGCTACAAGAATCCTGGGCAAAAAGAGAGGCAAGTTAGGATTGCATGGAAGGAGCAAAGCCTGGAAGAGGAAGGAGTATGAGGATAAGAGAAGCAGACAGGAATCTGCAAATTCTCCATCTCAGACTGATTCCACAATTACTTACAGTCTGTACCACAGCACTGAGTCTGGGAGAGCATGCTTTGGGTGAGAGGAGAGGAGGAGTAGGTAATAACCCTGTGCCGGATGGTTTTCCAGTTCCAGCTAGCTGGAACTGGAAATAACATGCTCTAACTCTCTTAAAGTTATATTTATTATTTCAGTGTTATAATAAAATTTTTTTTTTGAAAACTGTACACTTAGTTTTGGTCAAGTTATGTGTCTTGTATAAAGCAAGCAAAAACGTGGGAAGCATGGAGTTATATATAACGTGTAAGTCATTCTTTTCATTCTAGGTCACATGTATATCATGCAGTTACAAATCCAACACCATTGAGCCCTTTTGGGATCTGTCCCTGGAATTCCCTGAACGCTATCACTGCATAGAAAAGGGATTTGTCCCTTTGAATCAGACAGAGTGCCTGCTCACTGAGATGCTAGCCAAGTTCACAGAGACAGAGGCCCTGGAAGGGAGAGTCTACGCTTGTGACCAGTGTAACAGTGAGTGCCGGGGTTGGAGGGGAGAATGGGGTGTGCAACTGGGATATCAGTTTAAGGTGCTCTTTTGCCTCCTTTAGTCAAAAGTAACACTGATAATATTGAGTGGTTCTAAAGCGTGTTTTAAAGATTTTTTTTCTTCCCATTTTACTGCAAATAAGCATAGGGACATGATATGTTAAAAAAAACCAAACCAAACCTAGGAGTAGTGCTTCTTTTGACTTCTGCTGTGATTGACATTAGCTGTTATCTTGGGAAGCATTTGAAAGTATGAATCCTGAACTGGGAACTCGAAGAATGTGAGTACTTAGCTTCATAATTCTATAGATGCCCTGCTGAATATAGTCTGACAGGTCTTATTTAATCTAAGTTTGGGTAGCGTAGCCTGTTTGAGGGCTGTGGCATCAGAAAAATGTACTTTTGTACTGAATTTGTAGATTTAAAGCAGTGGTTCTCAATCTTCCTAATGCCACGACCCTTTAATACAGTTCCTCATGTTGTGGTGACCCCCAATCATAAAATTATTTTTGTTGCTACTTCATAACTGTAATTTTGCTACTGTTATGTCTTAGATGACCCCTGTGAAAGGGTCGTTCGACCCCCAAAGGTTGAGAACCGCTGATTTAAAGTGTCAGAAGTGATGCTGAAGATCCATACAATCAGATCAAAATAGCAAGTCATAAGGTGCATTGCTCTGTGGAAGTACATTCTGCATTTGTTTCTTTTTTTTGGTCCTCTTCCACACTGATATTTTATTTTTAAAATATTTTTTTCTTTATTGATTTTAGGGAGAGAAGAAGGGGGAGAGAGAGAAACATCAATGAGAGAGAACATTGATCAGCTGCCTCCTTCATGCCCCTCACTGGGGATTGGGCCCATAACCTGGGCATGTGCCCTGACCAGTAATCGAACCTGCAACCTTTTGGTGTATGGGACAGTGCTCCAGCCAACTGAGCCACCTGGCCAGGGCTCGTGGCTTTAATTTTATTTATTTTTTAATTTATTTTTTTATCCTCACCCAAGAACATTTTTGCATCTATCCTCAGAGCGGGAGGAAGAGAGAAAGAGAGAGAGAGAGAGAAACATCAACATGAGAGAGACACATTGAGTTGCTGCCATCCACATGGCCCCTTGGGGCTGGGGACAAACTGCAACCGAGGTACACGCCCTTAATGGGAACCGAACCCAGGACTGTCTGGTTCACAGGCCAATGCTCCCCCGACCACTGAGCCAGACTGGCCAGGGCTCATGGCTTTAATTTTAAAGTAGAACTCTTCCCATGTGGTTGTGTGGGCATCTTATGCAGGACCCCTTCTGTCTTGCCACACTAAAGCTTAATACTTTTGTTAACTCAGCATGTACAGAGGAAATGCAGAGCAGATGTTTAGAAGCTCATGTTTGGTTTTTTTGGCATATAAAGATTTGGGAACTAAAATTAATGAGTTGTGCAGAGATGTAGAAATCAACTTGCAGCCATATAATGTTTGGAATATAAGTTTTGGGAACAAAAATCTTAATATATTTGCATATGGTTTTTTAAAATAGTAAATTGTGGGAAACCTGTTCTCTTGGAAGAATCAGGAGGAAAAAAGTAATACTTGATATTATTTTGCTATTTTAAAACAAAATGAAATGCTGTACCTGGTTAACTGTAGACTCACCTGTCCTGTTCCACGTTGAGATATAAAGCAATGACTTAAATGATCTTACTAGAACAGTATCATTTTGTTTTTTAATATTAATTTAGAAAGCTTTTTATTTGTAAGGAACAGCAGAAGGATATTAACAGCTTTAATTTCATCATTCTGAGACATGATAAATTAGGCAAGAAATACTTTTATTTATTTTTGTAAGAAAGGGTGGTTTTTTGGTTGCCAGGTGTGCCGATTTATCAGGATTTCTCTGGGGAAGTTCAAATACTAGTAGGGAAGGAAAGCTATGGTAAAGGGATGAGATGAATTGATCTTTTGCTTGTGAATTTTCAAAACTATCAGCCTTCTACCTCTCTGTGTGGCCAGATTAATCAAATGGAGACAGAACCGATCAATCTCAATTGAATCAGTGATTTCTTTTTCTTTGTGAATTTCATTTTAGGGAAACAAAGCCAGATTCTATATGGTCTTCTCTCAGCTCACACACTCCCTCTGCTGACAGTGGCAGTCACTGCCAGGGTTCCTAGGTAGAGCTGCAATAATTTTAAAAAATCTGCTGGTGAATAGAAATGTAAAATAAGATAGGCCCTGCTTTGAATTTTCTTTCTGTTCATGCCCCACACACACATCATGACCGCCAGCCCTACGAAATGTGATGGCACGCTCATTCTGCTGCAGTCTATTATGAGAAGCAACATCTCACATCCTATTGTCACAGAAAGCTCTGTGGTACATCATCTGCCTGTGATTTTGCTGTCTTTCACGAGTGGTACAGACAGGACTTGGAATCAGATCCCAAGCTCTTCAGATGCTGAGACCATGATATCCACAGCTCAGAGATAATCAGCAGGCACCACAAGTGGGCCACTAACTAATTTTACATTTCCATCCATTCACTGATTTAATTAATAACAGAGCAGCCATCAGTAAATGGTTGCAGAGAGCCTTCTAAAGGAAATTAAGAGAACTTTATTTCCATTGCTATAATTTAAAAATGCATTTCTCTTTGAATTCAGTGGCTTTAGAAACAAAATTGAAGTCTGAGCACTGATTCTGCTTTGGACTGGATGAATTTGGCCAGCCTGTGAGCCTTGTCCTGCATGTCCAGCAGTGTGCTTTTATACAAGAAACATGGTTCAGAAACTAGGTACATCATAAAAGTATAAATCAGAAAAGGTTTTTTTCTAGGTATTTGTATATGTCACAAGCATATATAAATGGGGGGGGGGGTCTGTTTAAAGACTTTGTTCTTTAGTAATATTGCGTCCTCTTATGGTTTTCGTAAGCCTGAAATATATGTATTACTCCCCATTTTACCGGAGAGCAAACTGAGATTCAGATTTTTTAATAACTTGTCCAATAGCACAGAACTAGCTGTAAGCAGGAAATAGAATTAGGCCTTTCTGGTGAAAACAAAAAGATTTTAAAGCTATATTATGGTACATCATAATTTAAGTCATAAGCCCACATTTAAAGGCATAGAACCCTGACATATGCCTCTCTGTGCATTTGTTGTGGTGACGCAATTATATTCCATGACATCGGGAGCGTATCATCCTAAACCCATACCAATTTTTGGAAATTGCTGATGGCAAACATTTGAAAGTTAAAGTGTCAGGATTAGGTTTAGTTGCTGTTAAGTCAATTCAAGTAACAATGACTTAAAACAAGAAGTCCAGAGGACTTCCAGGGGCTTGCAAGGTTATTGGAGACCTGAGCACCTCCCATCTTTCAGCTTTACTGTCTTTGGTCAGGGCTCCCATCCTTAGATTACCTCATGGTCCAAGGGGAATTCCAGTAGTTGCAAACAGTGGGAAGGGCAAAGGATGCACCTTACAACCGAGTCAGCCTTCTTTGAGTTGCCATTAAGAGTGCCACACAATCATTCCTTTCATCTCAGCTAGAAGTTCCATAGCCACAGCACACAGACATGTGAGGCTGGGAAATGTAGTCTTACAGAGGGTCACATAACTGCCTTAAATAAAACTGAGATTCAAATACTGAGAAATAAGAAGAATGCATATTGAGTGGTATGTCATTATCTGCCACAGCTAGGAAAGAATGAGACTCCTCACAATCTGTCTTATACCTTCCTAAACCATATAGGCAAACGACGAAAATCCAATCCAAAACCCCTTATTCTGAGTGAAGCTAGAAAGCAGTTAATGATCTACAGACTACCTCAGGTTCTCCGGCTGCACCTTAAAAGATTCAGGTGAGCTTGCTCTTGGGCGTCCCAGGTGGCTGTGAACTATGGGAACAGCTGCTTTATAGCAAATGGTGAGGCAGATGTCTTTGCTGTTGGGAGAGGATGCTGGTTCCTTGGGCACCTTGTGCTTTCCGTGGAGATTAAATACATCATGCCCATTAAGGCGAGTTGATGTTGGGGCCCAGCAGGACTGGGCTGCTTCTCTCGTGGCCCTTTAAAAAATTTTTTTTCCCCTTTATTGATTTTAAAGAGAGAGGAAGGGAGAGGGAGAGGGAGAGAGAGATAGAAACATTGATGAGAGAGAACATCGATTGGCCGCCTCCTGCAAAACCTGCACTGGGGATCGGGCCCACAACCTGGGCATGTGCCCTGACTGGGAATCAAACTGGAACCTCTTGGTGTGTGGGTCGATGCTCAACCACTGAGCCACACCGGCCGAGCTCTCATGGCCCTTTTTAATTGGCTAGCCTGCACCAGATGTCTGTGCTTGAAGGTTTTCTAGCCTCACTTGGGCTTATATAGAGTCATCTTCAGAATAAAGTATGAAATAATCTCTGAAAAGAAGGGCAGGCAGTAAATGACAAAAGATTATTGCCTGAATTGCTTGTTTAGGGATCTGCAGTTTGAGTACATCATGAAACATCCACAGGAAGTATTGATTACTACTGTTCTACTGATGTGAAAACCAAAGATGAAGGTTAAGTTTAAGTTTCCTCAGTTCCCAGTTTTACCTACCTCTACCTATGATCACTTATGCCATTTTATACTAGTAAGAAGTTTATATTTATGTTCTAGGTGGTCTGGCCGTAATCATCGAGAGAAGATTGGGGTCCATGTCGTCTTTGACCAGGTATTAACCATGGAACCTTACTGCTGCAGGGACATGCTCTCCTCTCTTGACAAAGAGACCTTTGCCTATGATCTCTCCGCAGTGGTCATGCATCACGGGAAAGGGTTTGGCTCAGGACACTACACAGCCTATTGCTACAACACAGAGGGAGGTGCGTGCGCTTTACTCCGTAGGTGGGGGACACGGAAAAGGGTGGTTTGTCCACATTTCATTGCTTTCCTTTTCATCTACAGGGGGATAGCACATACATTTAAATCTAGTTGGAAGAATTATAGAAGTTTGATTCAAATTTTTTATAAACTACTAAGTAACAACATAAGATTGTTCTAAAAATTAACAAGAACTAACACATGTAAAAGTGCTTAGCATGGTGCCTAGCACGCTATGCTCAATTAATGTTAGAATTTATCATTAGTAACACTTCTGCTGCAGACCTGTTTCCTTCTTGGTTATACAGAAATGTATGACCCATCTAACCTCAGGAGATATTTGAATCTCACTAGCCTCAGCTCATAATAAAGTTGAGGACATTTATTGTTTACTATGTCCTTACTATATCCCTAACCAGGAGAGGTGTGGGGATACAAAGGCCCCTCCCAAGGAGCTTTCAGTCCCTGTGCCTGAGAGCAGAGCCTCCCAGCTGCTACACCGGGGCAGGTGTGCTGCAAGTTCTTTTCAATAATGTGCTGATCTTGAACCCCTTAGCCCTGGGGGCAGCCAAAGTGAGCCTGTGAACAAATAACTCTGTTCCTTCTAAAATTTCCTTTATCACTCCTCTGCTTATATTTCTCCTTTCTTCCTCCTTCTCTTCCCCTCTCTGCACCCTCAGTCTCCTGGCTGTCTTTGTGGAAAGTCCTAATGGGGAATAAAAAAGCCTGAATAAAATGAGGATAAAAATTATAGTCAGTTGATATTGTAAGCAGTACTGTGGTGGGGTGTGGTGGGGTTAAAGCCATTGGTTACAGGGAAGTCTCTTGGTTTCATTTGTCTATCTCTCCCCCCCCCCCCCCCCAATAATCAAGAGTTGGCTCTATTCACATTCCTCTGTCCCTTTCTTCGTCGTGGTTTTGCCTGCTGACTGGAAACATAAGTTGGGTAGTCATTTACTCTTTCTTTCCTTTGATTTCCTAGGTTTTTGGGTCCACTGCAATGACTCAAAGCTGAATGTATGCAGTGTCGAGGAAGTGTGCAAAACCCAAGCCTACATCCTTTTTTACACTCAAAGAACAGTTCAGGGCAATGCAAGAATCTCTGAAACCCAACTTCAAGCTCAGGTGCAGCCCAGCAACAACAATGAGGGCAGACCACGGGCCTTCCCCTGAATGGGAGGCACATGTCAAAGAACTGGCTTACTTTTAAACTTTTGATGTTTGTACATCTTTCCTCTTATAGGAAACAAGGTTTACTGCAGGAACAAGTTACAAGGTTTGCCTCACTGGGTCTAGAGCAGAGGTGCCAGGTGATTCATGTGCTATCATAAAATCTGTAGTCACTTTCTCTTGAATGGATTTGAAAAGTCCCTCCTTTGATAAAACAAGCCAAAAGGAGTAACTTGTACGAAGATTCTTTCATCAGTTACTTCTGAACATTGAGGGATCTGGGTAGAGCAAAGGGGGAGTAAATTGATCATATCCAGCCAGGAGAGCAGCCATGTTTTCTTTCCATTATGCGATTCCCTGCTAATTAGGACCTCCTTGCAGCACCAGAAGAATCCTCCCGGTGTGAGCAGCCCAGGACAGAGCTAGCAGCTTGCCGGATGGGACTGGTTCCAAGGCAGCAGGTGACGTCTAAGGAATTGTTCCAACAAAGGAAGTAACTTCAAGGGTTGAAAACTCGCAGACTTAACTTTTTGGGATAGCAGTTGAAGAGTAGAATGAGATGCATAGAGCAGATTTCCCCATGCAAAACGGGAGGTTTTCCACATGTCATACCCTCCCTGGCTGCTGCTCTTTAATCATTCCACATCTTCTGAGACTGGCATGAGCATCTCTTTATTCTGAAGGAGCAGTTCATATGGGGAAGCAATAAATTGGCACATGACGTTCTTTGCAGCCTAAGGGCACTCCTGGCTACCCAGTTCTGTAGCAAATCCCTGGTTCGGGTCAGGTCAAGGTCTAGGGTTTGGTTTAAATTGGTCTTTAGGTCAGTTGTCTGAGGCTTTCTCAGAACTCAGTTGAGGGTAGGCAGGAACAGCTGGTGGCCCAGGGCTTATCTGAATGTCTGTCACCTGTTCTCACCTGGTGCCCCGAAGCTTTTCTTCGCTCGCAGCTTCTTTTCTGCTCCTGGAAGGTTAGAACATTATTGTTCACCCCAAGTTTTGGGAACTTTTGCTTTCCTAGGGCTTAGGAATCTGCCCCCTGTATGTCGGTTTACTACTGATGGCTCTGGCTTGTTTCCTCCCAAATCTGATAATCCCTGCTGTTTCTTTAGCCAGCCACAGAGCCCACCAGAGAAAGCAAGAGTGCCCTGTCCTTTACTCCAGTGCTAGCAAAATAGCTCTTTCTTTCTACACTGGGTCAGTTTCTCAGTGGAATGAAATTGCCCAGGTGGGAACTTTCCTCCCCATCAGGCACCACTGCATTTCCCTTCTTAATCCTTTGCTCAGACTCACCTGTACAATGGATTGTAACTGTAACTGCTGTGGGGTTGCAGCGGGCTCCCACAGCTTGTCTTATGAATGCTCATCTTTTGACTGAGTATGTCATATTAATATTTCAATTCAGGTAGAAGTAGAGTTGTCACTTGAAAGGAGTAGATATGGAAGGGAGTTTGGGGAGGGGTGGGAAGTCAAGAAGAGAGGCTAACGAATAAGGGTCGTAGCTTTGGCGCTGTTGATGAGCCACATTCTGGATCATTTGTTTTTTACCTTTTGGGATGAACTGTGCCATAGGACCTGCCAGATAGTACTGAGAGATGGAGGAAATTCAGACAGAAAATGGCTCACCCTGCTAAGGAATGGGGGGGTGACGGGTGACTATATTTTAAATTAAACTTGCTTTTTCCAACACTGTGAGGTTTCTGTAATAGCTTTTATTTGGAAGCGATAGCGTATGGCATTTTTTATGCTGTTTGGTTTATATTGTCTACTGCAGGCTTCTTTGTATAAGTTTGGCCTGGGCTCATTTGCTCCTGGACACTGTTTTAAAGTGTCACAGCTACACATGCTGCCAGAGGCTCTGATGTGAAGCTGTACTCTCTAGATCCACATTTTTAAGTTGGCGGGATTGGTGGTGACTTTGTGGCAGTAGAAAAGCCAATTAATTAAAAAGACCCAGGAGAGTAAAAAGTAAAGGAAAATATAAATTGTGCCTCATCTTTCATTGAATGCTATATTTATTATTCTAGAAAATGAGAACTTACAAATGGAGAAGAACTAATAGAGCATCTACTTCATTCCTCAGACTGTCCAGGGGGAAATACTTAAGGAAAATGAACATTTAATGGAAAATTAAAAGATCTTCAAATTTTTAAAAATAGTTTTATACCAAATAATATAAGGCATATTAAGCAGATTAAAACTTTGTAAAATACTTAAGTTTGCTGAACACCCTGTATCAAGTTAATAAAACTGTTCACAGTGAGTTGGAATAGACACCGATATTAGAGCCCTCACTGAGCTGCACTCTTGGAGGTGCCCCTGCAGTCACAGACTCTCAGGTACCCAGAGGCAGCAGCACCAGACGCTGTTGAGATGTAAGTATTTATGAAGATTTTTATTAAAGAAGAGTTCCCTGCTACAGAAGCCAATGGCTGTTGTGAGAGAAATGTCCCTTTGCCTTTAATTTATTTACATATTGGAAGTAGATGAATTTTAGTTACATCTTATTTTAAATTGAAACATTCTAAAGAAAATAAGAACCAGGTAGAAGTTGAGTAGATGCTGCCAAATCAAATCTGAGATCTCCTAACTGAACCATACGGACCTGCTTCTCTCCCAGACAAGTAGTTAGCATCCCATTCCAGGAGCCCTTAGCATTTGGCTGGTGTGTTTACCTTCTACTGTAGCCAGCCAAGATGAATGCACCCTGGCCCTCACAAAGGATTTTTACCTCAGTCTAGCTTGACCTTCATACTTGTGGTTGCCTCAGAGATGAGCATCCATGCTAGCATAGAAAAGATTAGGAATGCCCTCAACAGCCAGAAACTGAAGCTCTTATTAAATGGCGGACAGAGCTCTTGCCAGCTTTGATCCAGCCCCTCCCAGGCTGAGGGGTGGCAGTGCCACACTCTAAAGAATTTCCAGATGTCTCTTTAAACGTCATGATTAAAATTGAAAACTGTAGAAGTGTTAATGTGTCCTATGGACTCAATAGCAGAGTTTATTTTTGTTTTTAATGGCAAGGCTTCTAGAGTCAGTGATTGTATGAGTTCCCTTCTCTGGCTTACAGTTCTATCCTATTGTAAGAACTAACGGGGTGGGTTGGCTGGCAGTGGGGCATGGCCCTAGCCAGGCCCCAGCATAAGCCTGAGAGAGGTCACAGTAGTGCAGAATGAAAACTTGGTTGGGTGTAGGGGGTGGGATGTGGGTGGGCAGGTAGTGAAGGAGAAATGGAGTTTGTTTTACTTACTGATAAAGCTTTGTGAACTAATTTTATACAATTCATAAAATTTGGTGCCTTGTACCCAATTATGGTTTGCATGGGATTGAAAAGATTAAGGGAAAGGATTCCTTCTTGTTATTTCAAGTGGCAATTGGTCTGTATAGTGTAAAGGACATTTGGTATCAGACTTTTTAAAAGCATTTCATATCTCATGTGTGAAAGCAAATTATTCTTAGTAACAAGATCTGAAATTCTACAGTCATGTCCAAAATCTGTACCTGTGATTATTCATGAAGTGTTTGTTTTTCAAGGCAGACTATGTATCCCATTCTTTTTCACCACCTCTTTTATATTCAGAACATTAACTCAAGCCTTTTCAAATTGGGCTGGGAGGGCCACCCCTTCTTAACCATATACTATACCCCTATCTGGAGTTATAGCTTATGAGTGGAAGAGTTGCTTTTCCAGCTGGTTGGGAGAGCACAAATGATCAGAAAAGGCCTTTTTGTTTTTCTAATGCTCGAAAACTTACGGTAGAAGTCAAACAAAAATGGGTCCCCTGAAGTGTTACTTTCATTAGTTATGAAGTTCTTTTGCAGAAAATTTCAGAAAGCAGTGTAGAACACAATCCCCTATATGTGAACCTTTAATTTAGATTGTAAGGCAAGCCAGTGCACTGTGTAATAACGCAAAAGAGAAGGCTCGAAGAACCCGTCGTAGCCCCTTTCCCCAGCAGGTGCCGACGGATGGTGCTGAGTGGCTGTGGAAGGTGAGACCCAGTCTGCTCACCAGCGAGCTGTTTACAGCATGTCCTTTTACTCCGACCTTAAGGTTTCCACTGAGCTCCCGAGACTTCACCAAAGGGTGTTTTAAAAGCTCCCCACTCAAAGCACATTTAATAATTGGGCCCCTCAGCCTAATTACTGGCCTAATTAGGTGAGGAGGTCCTATCTTTGGAGTAAAACCTTCTGTGGCCACTTAATTTTTACCAGGTAACTGTGCATCTCCCTGGTGGCTCAGATTCTTTCAAGTCAGCACTACAGCTGAAAGCGCCTTCCAAATATGACGGAGAGTTTAGTTTATATCCTCCACGCTTACGTGACCATTCTCTTGGGCTAGGGCTGTGACATTAACCACTGTGTACTCATTCAATACACACATTGCTCCAAGTACAGCGTAGCTACTATAGCATTGAGGTGAATAGTCATTTTTGTGGACTTTTTCCATACTTATTCTACTGGCATGTTTCCATTTAAAATCTGACTAGGTAGTGCAAGGGAGTTTCATAGTACTGTGCTAATTAGCCAGGGCTGAAAACTGACAGGATGTAGAACTGACTTCCTTTGGGGAGAACGTTGTATGTTAGAATGGTGAAAGCCAGCACTTTCATTTATAGAATGATGACTCACCATGATTTTTGAAATTGTAGATTTGGTGGCTTTATCTGTTAGTCTTATCACTTTGAGGGATTAAGCCAGTTTAAATAAAACTTCATCTTACAGGCATATGGCTTTACAAACCAACAGTGAACACTTACTTGAAGCTAAAAAATAAAAATTTTTAAATAATTAAAAGATTTTTAAAAATTATAGTTGACGTACAATATAAAACATTAAATGTTGAGTGAAACTTCAATGCTTTTGAAAGCTACCATGTCTTAATTTTTGCTGGGTTTTTATTTTCAACTTCAAAAATTTTTATGAAATAGAACTGTTCAGAATTATGAGATCTGGTAGCAGACTTCAAAGATAGAAGTTTCATTGTTATAAAGAACAGGAGGTGCTCATATTTCTTAGCAGTGGTCTGATGCAGGTGGAAAGGGGCTTAGCTATGCTGTGGCATAGAAGTTTCCTTCCTGGTCACCATTTTGGAGTTGATGTTCAAGCCTAAGCCTTGCTCTCATATATATATGACCCTTCCTCATCTTAACACCCAGTAAGACGTAAATCTGTCAAATCCTTTGTGGTCCCACTGTAGACTCTTCAAGGGTCATGGTTTCATGTTAAGCCAGCCATAGCCCTGAATTCACTGGCTCAAACTCCCTCCTGCTAACAGATGAGACCTACCTGATTAATACAAGGGAATGGTGCTTTTTAAAAGAAAATATATTTAAAATATAATTCTCAAACCGCTTTCTTAACGAGATTTATGCTGGCAGGGTCAAGAGGGATTATTTTGTCCTATTTACCTTTGGTGAACAGATTGCTAGAAACAGTATCTGTCAACTGTAACAATTAGGCCACTGTACATTTATAGTGACCCTCCTTCAGCTGTCACTTATCCCATATCAGTTCCATTAAGAGACTTGGCACAGACAGTATTTTTTTAAATGCCTAGTAATCAATTGGGGAAAAAAATTGTCAAGGGGAACGAACCTGTTATTATCTCTTCTATATGAGTCTTTCCAGGACAGTTTGTTACAGATTCCATTTCCAAAGAACCCCAAACTCCTGAACAGTGGCACCACTATGAATTTCAGTTTTGGAAAACATCTATTTCCTTCTGAAGGAAGCAGTTTACTCAAGCAGACAGCTGCTCACTTTAGTGCCCATCGCCTAGGCTTGCTTAACACCTTTGCCTCCTGCACATCACTGTCCTTTCTGCCAAGAAATCCCATTTTATTACAGCAACAATGCCTCCAAGGTGCCTGGAAAACCCACCTGGTGCACTAACATGCTATGCAACACCAAATGGCTTCTTCCCCTAGTAATGCTCAAAAATGGAAATTCCTCAGTGAGCTTCATCCTGTTAACATCAATGTATGGTGGCTAGTTTCCCTTTCTTTTAATATGAAACAAGTCACCTCTGTCAAAACCCATGTTTGTTTGGGGCTTGTTCCTATCTCTTTTGAGTGTGAAATATAAATCATGTTTTTATGATTTTTGTAAATCAACTTTTTACACTTTGTTTTTGTAAGCTCAAGTTTCTTATTAAAAGAATTACAAATGGCTGTCTTTGTGTGCAGTCTTTATTTCAAATAATTGTTAAAATACCATCAACTTATTTACTCCTCAAGACAAAAGCAAAGATCACTCCCTGCAGAAACTTAGGAATTATGTACAGAACTTTACAAAACAGAGGACAATACTTTAGCTGAAGCCTGACTGCTGATAAGAGAATGGAGTTCTGAGTAGACTCAGCAAAGGAAAGGAAACCAGGCAGGAAAGGGAAGGTACCCATCTGAATCAAACTTCAGCTGCCATCAGGGCAAGCCTTGTGACGGTCACAGATTGGAGGCTCTGTGTTTGGAAGGTTCAAGTACATCACGGGTTCCATGTGTCTGCAATCAGACAACAGGACAGCATTAGAAATGTAAAAGCACTGGAGGGAAATTGGTAGGCTCAGATTCCTTCTAATATATGGAAACACATTAGCTAGGAAACTGTCAAAAGTTTTACATCATCTCTTTTCTGTATTTTGTAAATAGTTGATAAAGTTATTGCTTCTCCCAGCTTTTAGGACTCTTAAGACACAAAGCGCCCTGGCCGGTTTGGCTCAGCGGTTAGAGCATTGGCCTGCGGTCCGGAGAGACCCGGGTTCGGTTCCCGCTAAGGGCATGTACCTCGGTTGCAGTTTGTCCCCGGCCCTGGTTGGTCGTGCGGGTGGCAGCCACTCAATGTGTCCCTTCACGTCGATGTTTCTCTCTCTCTCTCTCTCTCTCTCCCTCCCACTCTACCTGTGCAAAAAAAAAAAAAAAAAAAAGACACAAAGCAGTAGTTAAGAGCTTACCCATTTGGCTACACCCCTGGCTGAGGTGCCATTAAGTCAATGTCACTCAAATTCCTCGCCAGCCAAACTCCTGCAGCGAAAAGTCCCAAATTGAGGATCAAGTTCCTGGAAAAAGAATGTACTCTATTAACCCTGTGGTCACTGAGTGACTTTGGTTAACCGAAGATACTTGGGGGAAAGACTTCCCACCACCACTGTGGAGAAACCTCTTGGAGGTTAAACTATTAGATTGCAGGGCCACTGATCATTACATGGCACACTGCCCAAGACCCACACAGTTGTTTAGACTTGGTGTCTGTGTCTAATAAGACCAGGTCAAATGCAAAAACCAATGAAGCACTCGACCAGAGCCCCAAAGCCCGCTTATGTGTTGGCGCCTCCTATTCCCGGATCCACACCACCCCCATTGCCACCGTCAAATTCTCTGGACAGCCGGGTACCTGAAAATATCGCTTTTGCTGCATGGGAACCCTACCAGTCAAGGACTCAGCAAACCACGGCCAAAGCCACTAAGAGACCTAGATGCTGGCAGTCTAAAAAACGTAGGCGCCAGCCTGGGCGAAGGGAAATCCGCCAATTAGGTATACGGGCGCGGAAGGGCAGAGAAGGACCAGGCTCCCGGGCCTCGCTTACCTCCGGAAATCATTCCTGTCGGTGGCGAAGCGGTAGACGCCCCGAAGCCAATCTCCCACGTTGTCCGGAATTTCAGGAGTTTCATTTACGGAGCCGCCAGCGTTCACACCGACCGCGCTGGAAGCCATAGCAGCACCTTCTCAGCCCGCCAGGCCCGACAATGAACCCGGTTGGCGCACGCGGATGACGCAATCTCCGGTCTCGTACCTTCTCCGCCTCCCGGCGTGCAGAGGGCGCCGCAGCCTGAGCTTGGTCCCCTGCCCGTGGCCGAAGCAGAACTCCCGGGCTGCGCGTCCCCGAGCCCTGCGAGGGAGGAGCGAGGCGAGGCTCTGCCGTCCTCCTGGTCCGGTTCCACCTCCGGCTCCCTCTAGGCCTTCGCCTCGTCCAGCGGCTCACGCCACACGTGGCCCGAGTGATCATTGGCCCAGGAGGAGGATGCTGGAGATTGTTGGGCTGTCCCAGCCTGTGGGGTCGGAGTAGGGTCTAGCTCAGCAGGGGCTGCGTAGCTTTGGGGAATGGGGCTCCCCAAGAAAGTCTCCACCAAAAGTCACAGAATGCTTGTGCTGAAGAGGACGTACTCAAGTCTGTCATCTCGCCGCCTCTCCCAGGGGTGTCCCTGATTACGTTCAGTCTAGGATTTTTATAAGGGGAGAAGAGTCTCGGTCTACTGCCATATAGATCACCCCTCCACGACTCCCCCTTCTCCGGGCCGCGCCACTAGCAAATGGTGCAACGCTTCCTAGAGGTGTCGCTGTCCCCAGCTTGGAGGCTTCCGGGGGTCTTGCAGGGCTGGGGAAGGCGCTGGCCTAAGAAAAAGCCTTCGGGTTCGGAGTCAGAGGAAGAGGAGCAGGTGGGGCAGGGGGCGTCCTCCTTGGGGTCAATGGGCGTCTCCAGAGGGCCCTGCTCTTGTCCGTTGGGTGCCTCAGCCTTATCCCCGGCTCGACAGTCCTGCTCCGGGTTGGATGCAAGCAGGTCTCTCTGGGTTTCTGGACTGGAGCTGGCGGCGAAGGCTGCTCCGGTGATGGTTGCAGAATGTAGTGGTGCGCGGTCCCCGCCTTCAACTCTGTCGAGCCCCGCCTCCCCTGCTCAGGCCGGGTCAGACAATCCAATCTCAGCACCCGGAGTCTCCCACCCTCAGATCCGGGCGGGGCGGCCCCTGGGAGCTAGGCCCTGCCCCCCGCCCCGCCCCCGGGTGGTGCGCGCGGCCGCCGCCGGGCGTCCTCTCCAGGGCTCCTCGCTCCTCCCCGCCTCCGCCCACCAGAGGGCGGCGGCGTTCCCAGTCCAGGAGCGAGTCCCGCGCCGCAACCTCAACCGCGGCGCGGGGTGGGTTCGGGAGGCCCTTGGAGCGCTCCGGCCAGGGATGCGCGGTGAGAGCTGCGGGCCCTGAGGCTCGGGTTTGGGGGGCTGCGGTTGGAGGACGGGGGCGCTGCTGGAGGGACGGGACGACGTGGCGAGGGTCCCAGCCCGGGAAAACTCCCTCCTCTGCCCAGCCCAAGCCGCTTCCCCCATCCCCTTTGATCTGCACCTTTCCTCCCTTACCAAGGGACAGCCTTCCTTCCAGTGTCGCGGCCGGGCTCGAGCCGGCAGCCGAATAGCGACTCTCAAAACAGCTGGGGCAGCAAGGGCCGCCCCCCGGCAGGGCATAACGTCCTCCGCCCAAGGGCCCGGCGCAGTCCTGGCAGCAGAAGTGGTTCTCGTGCCAGCGCCATCCCTCCGCCTCGGTGCAGCGCCGGGAGAAGATCAGCTGGGAGAGGGAGAGGGGACGGCTCGTTCATTCATTCACTCATTCATTCACCCAATAACCACGCCTTATAGCCAGTTAACGCTGAAACACGTCTACAGATATTCCCATTTGATCTACTCAACCACTCTCCGGCGCAGGGAGGGCTGATTGGTTTAGCCAGGATCCCCCAGCTAGCAGGTGGCATAGCCTGACGTGCGACCGAGTCGCCCGGACTCCCAACCCAGGGTTCCACACTGCTTCTTATGCTAACATGAAGGGAGTTTCTCGCATGATCAGGCACAGCACTGGGCACCCAGCGTACTGATGGGAACGTCTGCCCAAGAATCCCTGTTCCAGAAAAAATTTCTCAGTCCCAGAAAATGGGGGCGGGGGGCACTACTTGCTGTGGGGGAGGGCACAAAGGGTTCCACATGCCCAGAGCTCAGGTCAGCAATGGGAACACAAGGGTCCCAGGCTGGTGCCTTGTTCTCTCTACTCCACCCCCTGACACTGGGAGAAGTGTTCCCTTACCTCCTGCCAAGTTGGACCCTAAACAGACCTGCTCAGCCCCTCCACTCAGAGCTGTACCTGGTCACAGGCAGGGCAGCGTGGCCTCAGCAGCTCAGCATGATGACGGCCGCAGTAGAGATGCCCATCGTGGTAGAAGTAGATGAGGTTTATCAGGGCCTGGCCACAGACCTGGCAGGCAAAGCAAGCCCGGTGCCAGCAGCACTGCTCTCCTGCCCTGGCTGCAAACACTCCGTATTCCCCTGGCCTCAGCAGCTCTCTGCACTGCCAGATGGGGGAGCTAGCTGGTCAGAGGCAGCACCACCCTCCCCACTTCCCTCCTCATTCTTCCATCCCAACCCCACCTCCACTGCAGGCTCACCAAGAATCCCCAAACTTGTTTTCTTTTTCTTAAAATTTGCCATACTATCAATCCCCAAACCCTTTTCCTCATCAGAGTCTCAGAAGCTAGCTCCTTCTACAGAATTGAGAGGGCAGAGAGGAGAAAAGGGGAATATTGGGGAGGAGGCACTACATACCTTCGCACAGATGCATTCTTTGAGCTTGGGAGGTATCAGGCGTGCCACCCCCTGTCCCAGGGCCTCCCGCCTCCGCTGGGCACAAAAGAGTCGCAGCTCAGCCAGCTCCTCCTCCTCAAGGGCTAGGCAGTATCGCTCCTGCAGAAACAGGTTCTACAGTGATGGGAGAGCCTCAGCAGGCACAATTGAAGTTTGAATGGAGAGATAAGGCTTAGCTGCTGGGTCAAAGAAAGGTTGCAGAACCTCAGGGAGGTGCCGGCGATAACGGCATAGAAGGGCATTGAGATGGAGAGGGGAAGAAGGATAAGGGACAAGTGTACCAGTAACTCCACCTGTCTTACCTGCCCCCCCCTACCCCATCACCACATATTTAGGTCCTTGCTCCCAGTGAACTGCTCAATATCACTTCCCATTGTGTTTTTCCTATTTATTCCATATTTTCCTTCCCAACTGAATTATAAGCCTTTAGACTGGGCACAAATAAGCCTCAATAAATACTTAACCATTTTCCCTACATTTGTACATTCCACTATTTTTTTCAAAAGTCGTTCATGTCCATTTTCTCATTTGCTCTTCAACTAAGCATTGTGGTAGGCAGAACAACCACCATGTAGATAGTTGTACCCATTATGTAGATGTGAAAACTCGGGCTGGGGCGGGAGAATGACTTTCCCCAATTAGTGACATAGCTAGGCTTTAAATCTATGTTCCCTGACTTCTAGACCAAGGTTCTTTCCACAGTGTGTAAAGAAAGGAAAGTCAAAGAGAGGGAAGCAGGGGACAGGGAGACCCACATCACTGTCCTGTGGAGGGAGCTGCTGCAGGAGCCCAGGCCAGTTGGGAGCTTGGTTGGTGTCCAGAGCAGGAAACTCCAGGCTCGGAACTTCAGAATCCTGAGGAGACACAGCAGATGAGGAGTGGAGCTAGGTTCTCCTTCTTGCCCCTCCTTCCTCCCCTTCTCTTTGCCACCTCTTCTCCAATCTGGGAAAACATCCAAGCACCCTGCCCCGCCACACACACTCCTTTTGTTTTTATTATATTTTATTTTTATTCCTCACCCGAGGAAATTTTTCAATTTATTATCAGATAGAGTGGGAGGGAGGGAGGGAGACAGAGAGAAACATCAATGTGATAGAGCCACATCAACCTGACCAGGGCCAGGGACGAACTGCAACCGAGGTATGTGCCCTTGACTGGATTCGAACCCAAGACTCATTGGTCCATGGGCTGATGCTTTAACCACTGAACCAAACCGGCCAGGGCCACACACTCCTTTTGGACCATCAACTTCAAGATCACCAGGACAGCTGATCCACTCCTGCATTTGTAGTCTGATTGATGGAGGTTGGTGAGGCCTCACACCCCGAAACAGCTTCCCTTCTTATGCTTGAAATCACCCCCTTCACTCAGGGCCAAAGCCCGTAAGGTCTGCTTTGACAGCACAGACCCCTTTGGAGAGGTAATGTGTATTCTTGTGAATACTTTTAAAGTCAAACCCTCATGTCCTAAGGGACTGTAGAAACAGATTCCTGCAGGGAGAAAAGGGCCACAAGAGGCTGGGCACAAAGGCTCTCTCCTCTGAGCTGGTGGACATGGGTGGAAGTCCAAAGGGTGGAGGCATATTGGTCTCCGAAGGAAGGGCAGGACTCCTACCTGAGCAGAGATCTCCTCAGGGTCCTCCTCTGGCAGGTGGCCTGGGTCACTGTCTAAGTTCGCTGGTGGACCTGGATCCTGAGCAGTGAGGCTCTCCCCTCGGTGGGGCCAGCCAGAGTTCAGCACTGACATCGATGGCAAAGTCTGCCCAGAAAATAACAAGAACACCTCCCATTTATTTGGTCCTTACAATGTGCTGCTAGGCAGTGCTAAGTGCTCTACCGACATTATCTCATTCAACAACCATGTGAGTTAGGTGGTATTTTTGTCTCCACTATACAGATGGCCAAACAGGCTGGGTGAGCATAAATGGTATGCCCAAGATCACATAGGCAGTAAGTGGCAGAACCAGATCTTGAGGCCAGGCCTTTTGGCTCCAGAGTTTCTGAAGCTCAAACTCTGGGGTCTCCTACAACTGGAATGGAGGAACAGAAGAGGTCCACAGTGGGAGGAGAGGGCATTTTGTTTTTTTGGTGAGCCTTTGGGCAGACCGGTCCCTTCTTCCCCACCTCCTTAGCTTAACTCTCACCATTCCTCACTGTGTACTTACCAGGCCAATGAGGTGGCTTCCTCCCCATTTCCTGCACAGACCCCTTTTCCAGCTGTAGGCTTGAGCCAGGAAGCCCTTCTCAGCCTCTCCAGCCCATAATTGTTCTCCTTTCTCTGAGCTCCAGAAGTACAATCAGTGTTCCAAGATTTAACACATAATGTTTCTCTTTGCCCCCTGTGTCTCTCTCAGCTCCTCACTTAGTCTATAAGCTCCTCCAGGACAGAGGAAAATCTTGTGCTTCTATCTTTTATCTAGAGCTGCAACTTCATTGGACAATTCTAAGCAGTGTTTAGCCCTCCCCTGGGCAAGCCTTGGTATGACCACAGTATCTTGGAGGCAGGGGTGACTACTGAAGTAGAAAAGGAATGGGCCCTGCCTACAAGAAGCTCATAATCTAGTGGGGAAGACAGAGATGGAACCAGGCAGAATGGAGCTAGAGCTTTGGGCAGGTATACACAACACCAAAGGGAAAAAAATAACCAGAGCAAACTTTTCTGTTTACTCTGTGCCAGGGACTATTCTAGCATTTTACATAATTTAATCCATCCTTACAACAAACCTATGAGGTTGTTTCTATTATCCCATTTTATGGTTGAAAAAAACTGAGGCTAATTACCTTGCCCAGGGTCACATTAGAAGACTAAGGGAGGAAGTTGCCTTTGAGAGCTGGGATGGATTTTGACTGTCAGCAGGGCACAGGAGGGCCATCACCAAATCCCTGGCCTCTATAAGACTCAGCTTTGGGGGTGGGAATAGGGTTTGGACTCTTAACAATTATATTGCTTCCCAGCCCACAAACCCCCTTGAATTCCGCCCCACCCCCTTCACATGTCCTGTGCCACCCTTCCCTGCTTCCTGGCTCCACACCCACCTGCTTCCTTTCCGTTCTGTCCCTCAGGTCAGGTTTCCTGTGGAAGGCAACTGGGATGAGCCATTCACACCCAGGGCCAGGAGCAGCCACTTCCCCTGAAGGCAGTGCCCCTGCTCCAGGCAGCAAGAGGTGCTTGGGGGTGGAGGCCACACAGGAAGAGTGGGGATATCTGGGGTCCCAGAGAGCACTTGCACCCTCTCTTCCAGGTTAGTTCTAGTTTGCATGAAATTGTCGCACACAGAAATAATGTTCAGAAATCGCCTGCCCCCCTCACCCTTCCATCCCCTCAAAGGGCAGCCTAACTCCACTTCCGCTTAGCACTGGACCCCACCTTACTAACCTGCTGATTGAGTCCTTCCAGAATTCCCCTCCCCCTGCTCCCCTTAGACAAGGAACAAGGCTGAAACCCCTGTCTCACCTGCGTGAAGGTGCAACCAGGCTCACAGAGTTTGACCTTCCCAACCCACCCCTGCCCTAAAGGGCAAAGCCAGAGGGGCTCTACAGTCTGGGAAGGTAAAGAAATGGGAAGTTTTCCCTGGACAGTGAGAGGGAGATGGGGAGAAGTGTCCGGTTCCGCCAAGTACCCCCTGGGTAGATCCTCAAGAGTTTTTTCTTGGACTTCGCGGGGCCCACCTTGGAGGCGGGCGGCGTGGTGTGGTTCCGAGTCAGCTGGGGTTCCCAGTCTGGCTGCGGGGAGTTTAGAGAAGGAAACGGGACTCTGCTGGGGTCTCACCCTCGCCGCGCGCCGCTGTCTGGGCCGTTCTGGACCGGCCCCGCCGGGTGCCCCTCACTCCGTCCCCACCCCGAGGCTCAGCGCCCGCCTCCGCCCGTCCCGCGAGCACGGCCCTTCCTCTCCCACGCCCTCCTGGGCTGGTCGGGCTGGACGGCTCGGGGAGGGGCCTGGGCTGCAGATTCGGGCGAGCCTTTGTGAGACCCGGGGTGGAAAGTGTGCAGGTTGCACTGCTCCCTCTACCCCACTGCCATGGACTTGGTGTGGGATCGCCCCTGCGGCACCGAGCGGACACCCGGGAGCCTCGTCTATGCCGGGTCCTCTAACTCCCGCTGAACAGAACGCCTTTCTAAGCATGCAGGTCCCCCCAACCCACCCTCTGTGTCCCTCCCCCTTTTCCCCAGCGGTCCCTCCGCCCCTTCCCCTTTTCCTCAGCCTCTTTCCAGGGTACCTCGTACTGCCCTTCCCTCTTCCATCCCTTTAGATCCACCTCCCCACCCCCGCCCCATCTTTTGTGTTTTTCCCTCCACCGCCTGTCCCTTTCTGCTCCAGGTGGTGAAAACCTCTGGTCCCACCTCTGGTCCCACCTCTGGTCCCCTAGCCCCGCCCCCGCTCCGTCCCTAGGCTCCGCCTCGCCTCTGCCGGGAGGGCTCAGTCGCTGGCTAGGAGCGCCCTCTGGCGTGTGCGCATGCTCCCTGCTCCCGACTGCAAAGTCCTCCAAAGGGACCTTCTAGGCTGCGCGCCGGTCGCCCCGAGCGGGTCCGCCCGCCCGTAGCGTCTCGTTGGTGCTGCCGATGACCCCCGACCCCGTAGCCGCGGGGCGGGGCGGGGCGGGGAGACCTTAGCTCCGGGCGGGCGGCGGCTGCTGCAGCGGCACCCGGGAGCGGGGCCCGGCGCCGCCCGGGCCGCGGGGCGATGTGAGTCAGGGCGCGGCGGGGCGGGGACGAGGCGGCTCCACCGAGGCCGCACTGCGCCGCAGTCTCCGCTCCCGTCCGCGGAAGCCCCGGGCAGGCGGGCCGGCGTGTGGTGGAGCCCCGGGCTGGGGGCGGGGATCCAGGGACGGCGCGCGGCCCCGACCTCCCCAATTCCTTCCCGGTGTCTAGAAATCCCCCTGACAACCCTGCAGCCGAAATGCCTCTCACCCCCAGAACCACCCCACCCCCACCCCCGACACACCTTCGCACGTCCTCGTGCCCTCAGAACCCCTCTCCTGGGAATTTCGGATACGCCCACAGAGCCACATTCTCTTCTGGATGCCCCAAATGCTTCCATCGCCTTGACATTTCTCTGCTCCATCATACCCCCTCCCCACTCTCCTTGCACCATATTCAAATCCAAGAAACTGCCCACGTTTCCCCAGCCCTCTCATGTATTTTGAGTTCTCATAACCTCTTAACTCCCGCCCCCAATGCAGACCTATCCTAGACCAGAGCTCCCTTCTCCTGCCCCATCCAGTGTAATGGCCCACATTGGGCTGTCACGATGTGTCCTGATAATCATCTTTAAGAGAAGGGGACAAGAAAAGGTGCAACACCCTCCCCCATCTTGCACCCTATAGTTCTTGGTTTCACCCCCAGACTCCTTGTTCCCGGCTCAAGCCCCAGTGTTTCCCCAGTGTCTTAAGGCTGTGCACACCTCCCTCGGCCTGCTTCTGCTTTACAAAGAAAAAGTCAGACCAGGAGCAGGGCATCTGTTCACCTGGAAAGTTTTCCAAGGATACAGAGCACAAGAGGCCCTGGGAAATGACAGTTTTTCCAGAGAGGAGGGTGGGATTTCAAGAGTCTCCAGGGTCCTGTCCTGTGAGCTTGTCTACCTGCGGCTCAGATCCCTGACATTTTGGTTTATTGTTAGCATTTGTGTTAAAATTTTAGGCCTTTCAGAGCTTGGAGAACAGGAAGTCTTGTCAAGCTTCCACATGTGAGATTGTCGTGGAAGAGGACATTTTTAGTGATGTTTGTCCTACATGCTTACCTCTAGAGTTTATTTAAGCTGGCAGCACCACAGTTTACAAATATTTCCCTTAAAAACTAAGGGCTTGGGGTGGGAGTTGGGTGTGGTAGGGGTAGGGTTGACTTGGCAGTCTCCCAAGTACCTAGTAGCAACAAAACAGACTGGAATATTTGTTTCCTAAATCTATAGCCAGCGCTCTTTCCACTATATCATAGTGTCTTTTTAGGAAAGCTCTTTGGAAAGTTCTCTGCAAAGATAAGGTGGTGGGTTTGGTGTTGGTTGTAACAGGATTCAGATGGAGTCTGGAGGCCATTTAAAGGTCTTGGGCTGCCCGGCCAGTATGGCTCAGTGGATTGAGTGTGATCCCATTGATGAGAGGTCCTGGTTCGATTGATTCCCAGTCAGGGCACATGCCTGAGTTGCAGGCTAGATCTCCAGTGCAGGAGGCAGCCGGTTGCTGTTTCTCTCTTACATCTATGTTTCTATCTCTCTCTTCCTTTCTCTCAAAAAAAAAAAAAAAAAAATCAGTAAAAAAATTGTTTTTAAAGGTCTTGGGCTGCCTCAGACTTCAAACCTATTGATGCTAGGGGGAGTATCCTTCGGAGGATTTATGGAGCTCAGAATTTGTGGTCCCTTTGTCCTTGACCTTGCTTTATTCATTGGTGTTTCTGTGTTGTTAGGACCTGATAGCAAGACAATTTCATTAACAATTGGTGAGGATGAATGTTTCCACTAACCTATGGTCTCCGTCTCTTATGCTAGGTGAAGCCCCAGGTGTGTCCCAGAGGGATCTAGGTGACTTCTCTGCAGACTGCTTGCCATGATGCCCCATCAAGAACAGGGGGAATAAGTGGGGGTTCTTCCCCATGCCCCTCCCATGGTCAGTTTCCTGATGGCCTGGGCGAGGTGAGAGCTGTGTAGAGTTTCCTAGAGTTTCTCAAATTGGGAGGAATGGAAGTTCTAGAAGGATATCTAATCTTACAAACTCATTTCTTGGAGTAAGTTGCAACCCCTTAACTTCTTGTTGGACTCAGTCCATGCAT